GCTGGCAAAATGACCACCGCAGGGCTCGAACCTGCAATCTCCTGATAATTACGAATCGTAGTCAGACGCGATACCATTTCGCCAGGCGGCCTGCCACGTGATGGTCACTCGCAAATTTTGTCATTCAAACGAAATATGGGTTTTGTTCAATAAAATCTCGCCACGAATAGCGGACACAGCGCTCAGGCAACTTATGATAAGCCAAATTTAATATTTGATTCATAGCTTTAGTCGTATACAAACAAGGAACTACATCACAACGAGTTTCGAATCACGGAGAAAAGAGTCACCGAGTTAGGAAAGCATTCAAGCATCGTACTATAATAACAGACTATTCAGTAGGCGTTCTCCCAGAATCGTAGTGGGACCTACCATAACGACTAGAGATGTCGGCCAAGGCGAGATACCTCCATTATCATCAATATAGCTCCTGACTGTCGTGCCGAGCACGTCACTGTCGAATCCATCGAGCTGGCCAAGCACGCCGGGAGCACGACGGATGCTCTTAAGCTTGAAGATCTCGCGCAGAATCACCGCCACGAACTAATGGTCCACCGTGACGTCAGTCCGACGAAACTGTAAGATACTTGCACTACTGACCTGCTCGGTGGTATCCAAGCCAGGACACCCGTGGACGCCAACAGCTTGAATACCATAATTCTCCTTTGGTCGGTGAGGGTCGACAGCCTCGGGATTGGGGAAGAACTCAGGGTCCAAGTGAGCGTTGCGGTAGGAGAGGAACAAGCGATCGCCTGGCTCCACGGATACCGAAGGCTGGTCGGTTCCCTGGGGAATTTCGTCCTGGGTAGTGGCGATACGAGCCAAGACAGGGAATCTGAAAAAGTATCTCAGCCAGTGATCGTAATGCATCGATATAATACGTACTGAGGGTTCAAACGGGCGGCCTCGCGATAATATCCGATGAGAAGTTGGGTGCTTTCGGCGTCGTTCCTCGATGCGAGTTCAATAATATGCTCACGCTCCTTCTCGCGAGCACCATCCATGTAGAAATCAATCGTTTGCGAAACGGCTAATTATGTTGTCAGTACATTATTATTTGACCTATGATTTCATACTAACCCTGCGCAAAATTCACGGTTGAAGTAATGAGAATACCGAGGACAATCGCTACCAGATCATTGATCGGCTTTCCACTAGTCAAGAGTGCTTTGTGGAACGCATCACTCGGGCGCGTCTGCCCAGTCTATGATAGCCTTCGTTTAATGCGCGAACCACCCGAAAGCAGGATGATACGCACCACAGTCTCAACAGCTGTTTTGATTCCCAAAAAGATT